TCTAACAGGCTTTAATTTTTGCATCTGAATAATGAGAGCACTGGACCAGAGGGTCTCTAAAGCCCTTCCAATTCCAACATTCTGTGGCTCTTAATGCAGATTTCTCTGAGCAAGCTCACCGAAACTCAGGCCAGTTTCTTCATTGTCCCTGAAGCCCCAGAGGTAATTTTCTTCTAAGACTTGTCAAGCTATTCCCCTGCAGCAATGCCCCCCCACTTCCGCTCATTTCCCAAATCCTTTTTTTCCCCAAAGACCTAGCTTAAACCCTGCCTGCTCCAGGATCTCCAGAACTTTAGTTATAAATCACAAATGAGCATTCCTTTTCAACAGTCTTTTTCATATTTCTGTTCTGTATATCTTCATTCCCTCATCCGGGCTAAACTCTCAAAGAGCAGGGACCATGTCACATGTCTCTGGAACCCCCAAAGAGCCTCCCATTACATGGGTCTGCAATAGCTGTTCAACACTGCTGGCTGAGGGGTCATCCTATTGCCATTAAAGGAACTAGTTAGTAGTCACTAGACTCCCTGATTGTAAAGGAAATTATCTCCATTCTTCTTCCTCACATACACAAATCTGTAAACATAAACTTTTCTTTCAAGACCATCATCCACATTTAACATAAGGAAAGCTTAGCTAACTCTTTGATTTTCTTTTATCTGAATCAGAAATAGTTATAGCCGCGTCTCCCTTTGATCCAGACTTAAGTGATCACAGGTACTGTAATTTTAGGGACTTCTAGTTGATCCCGGTTCTGTACTTCCACTAACACATATTTGCCATGGTTATTAAGTTCCCTCACTTTTCAACACATGGTTATTACGTTACTTCCTCACCTCTCCAACCAAATTTCCAGGAAGCATCTGGAATAATATCAGAGAGTTGATCTGGAATAATATCAGAGAGTTGGGGTTTGATCAAAACGACATCCTCTGCTTTACTCATTTGGAAGTGACTAATTTCAATGCTTATGTCTTAAGTGAACATAGACGGATGGATGTGATTCAGGAGTTTGCTAACACTCACCAACAGAGACGCAATGGACACATTACATCACCAATGCAAGCCTCAAAACGGTGCTCACCTCCTCTGCCTGAGAGCGCTGCTGAAGTATTGCTCAGTACTGTGAGTGCTGGGCTCTGTTTTGCAATACTTCTGGGTAATTACTGACTATTCAAAGTGAATCCCAAAGCTCTTCAAACAGAATTTTAAACTGTTTATTTTTTGAGACCAGGTCTTGCTCTGTCACCCAGACTAGAGTGAAGATCTCTCAGCTCACTGCAACCTCTGCCGCCTGAGCTCAAACCATCCATCCTCTCACCTCCCAAATAGCTGGGACTACAGGCACATACTGCCATGCCTGCCTAATTTTTTTTTTTTTTTTTTTTTTTTGTCTTTTTGTAGAGACAGGGTTTCACCATGTTTCTCAGGCTGGTCTTGAACTCCTGGGCTCAAGTAATCCGCTTGTCTTGGCCTCCCAAAGCACTGGAATTATTGGCATGAGCCATGTCACCCAGCCAAACTCAGTTTATTTTTAAACGAATGCTCCAAAACACTGGTTCTAACCTGGTTACAACCTTGAGCACCTTCATAAATACCAATTGCCAACATCCCACCACCCCAACCCTATCACCCTTCAAAGGTTTTGATCTAATCACTTTGGAGATCCAGACATTGGTATTTTCTTAACAGCACCTCAGCTATGCTGAATGAATTAAAATACCATTATTAAATATTTTGGTATAACAGCATTGTGACTCTGTTTTTCAAAAGGACTGAGTTATTTGTTTGTAGGTTTACTGGTAAAATTCAAAATAAAATCTCTATTTAGTTACTAGTATTGTACCAAGCTAATTTCCTAGATTTGATCATGGTACTAAGGTGATGTAAAGTGTTAACTTTAGGGGAAGCTGCATGGGGCAGGGTATACATGTGTTTTCAAATTATTTCCGTGACTTTTCTCTAAGTCTAAAATTAATTCAAATTTAAAAGTTATTTTTTAAAAGAATCCTTCACTTTTAAAGATATATACTTAGATATTTGTGAATGAAATAATGCCTGGGGATTTACTATAAAATATACGGTTGGGGGTGGCAGGGAGTGGGGATATAGAAGAAACAGGATTATTCACAAGTTGATAATTGTAGTGGCTGGTAATGAGTACATAAAGGTTCACTGTGTTACTCTGTCTTCTTCAGTATACGTGCAAAGTTTCCCATCATATATATTGGAGGAAAAAATTTCCGAGCAATTTTAACGTGTAGCCAGGACTGAGAAACACTGCTCTGAAGTCTTGAAAATGAGAAGCTCTGTCTGGCACTTCTAGCTACAAAACACTTTCCCCGGCTCTCTAACAATGAGCCAGTCAGTTAATCTCTCCGTGCCATACCTTCCTAACTGCAAAGCAACAGACATGGATGAGAGGACTCCTTTTTTTCCCTTGAGACGGAGTCTGGCTCTGCCGCCCAGGTGGTAGTACAGTGTGGCTCGATCTGGGTTCACTGTAACCTCCACCTCCCAGGTTCAAGCAATTCTTGTGCCTCAGCCTCCTGAGTAGCTGGGACTACAGGCATGCATCACCACACCCGGCTAATTTTTGTATTTTTAGGAGAGATGGGGTTTCACCATGTTGGCCAGGCTGGTCTCAAACTTAGAGGACTTTTTAAAAAGAATAAACATCAAGAAGCCAATTATTATTATTCTAAAATCTCTCTGAGAGTTAATGTTACACTTAATTAATTTCTAGCACAATAGTCAAAAACGGTAAAGTTTGCCTGGGCGTAGTGGCTCACAACTGTAATCCCAGTGCTTTGGGAGGCTGAGGCAGGAGGCTCGTTTGAGCTAAGGAGTTCGAAATCATCCTGGGCAACATAGCTACACATGGTAGCATACAGCTAGTCCTAAGCTACTGGGAAGCTGAGGTTGGAGAATCACTTCTGCCCAGCAGTTCAAGATTACAGCGAGCTATAAATGCATTACTAAACTCTAGCCTTGATGACAACACGAAACCCTGTCTCTAAAAAAATTAAAAAGGTAAAGTCTTATGTTTACAATAGCATTTCCCAAAGCATGTTCTAAAATCACTACTCTACCGGACATTAACAGATGTTACCCAAGATAAGTGTTTGGCGATCAAATACTTAGTTTTCAGAAACTAAATACAAAGTTCCAAAAATCTTTTTCTTTACTGTGAGACTCCTAAAAACTTAAAATGGGATAATATGCTTTGGTAGTTTCCAAGGAGTGGTAAGGCAATATGCAAAATGTTTGACCTTCTTTATATGGAACTAGTTTTTTCAAACTTATTTTAGAAATAGTGCTTAAGACCACTGGTTCCCAAATCCCAGCTAATAGAGGGTGGCATCAGTACCATTTGGTAACCTTATGTATTAGTCCGTTCTCATGTTGCTAATAAAGATATACCCAAGACTGGGTAATTTATAAAGGAAAGAGGTTTAATTGACTCAACAGTTCCACATGGCTATGGAGATGTCACAATCATGGCTAAAAGCAAATGAGGAGCAAAGTCACATCTTACATGGTGGCAGGCAAGAGAGCTTGTGTAGGGGAACTCCCCTTTATAAAACCATCAGATCTCATGAGACTTATTCACTATCATGAGAACAGCATGGGAAAGATTCAATTACCTCCCTCTGGGTCCCTCCCATGACATGTGGGAATTATGGAAGCTACAATTCAAGAGGAGATTTGGGTGGGGACACAGCCAAACCGTATCATCTCATGAAAATAATGATTCACAGACCACACCTAGACATACTGGGAGGAGGGGAGAACTCAGTATTAAAATAAATAAAAAACCCACATGTTGCCAATGAAGAGTCATGTTTGGAAATTAAAGCTTGGTGGACCATAATATAGTTAAATAAGTTTATAATATATGCAAAGCCACATCAGTGAAAAGCAATATCAAAGGTCATGTTTAATAGTTTTCCAAATAATAGTATTTAACCCATGAGACAAGAGTATATGCACACAACATTTTATGAAAGCTAAGTACTAAAACGCTGGAGATGTTGGCAAATTTGAATCTGTCAATATAACTAACGACTTTATAATCTCAAAGATGTACTACCTCCATTGCTAAATAAAAACTATTAATCTGCAGTGACTCTCGCCCTATCACCTGTGTGCTTTTCCATGTCCATCTTCTTCTCTCACCAGAGTTAAAGGGCCATTTTGTTAAACAAATCTGGGAGTGCCATTCACGTTAAGTGGTTTCTCCAACAAACAGTTCCTGACATTTCCTTGATATTACAGTACATCAGGTATCAGAAATATAAACCCCTTCTTGACTGAAAACTTTGGAAACTGTACTTACTTATTCCTTGGTGCCCCTAGAATTGTGCTGTGCTGCAGCTGGTCAACGACACATTTAAGTGCTTAAAGGAAGTACCTACTTACTGAGATTGATAATTATACAATATTTGTATCATGCCTTTCAGTTTACTAAGCACTTTCACATGAATTACATTGCTTCGTTTCTCTAAAAAAACTTTGTGGGTTAAAGAGGCATAATTGTTTTCATAAAACCAGTAAGAACCACTAAAGCTTTCTGTATCAAGACTCCTGCTTTGAAAGAAATTATAATCTACTGGGAAACAAAATATAAACTATACGCAGGAAACGGTTAAAGTCAATTCAAAGATAGAATAGTAGCTAGAGCAGATAAGTATGGCAGGACTTTACATACACGAATAATAGCTAACACTAACTGAGCAATGTGTCAGTCAACCCTTGGGGTAAGTCACTACTATCAGCCCCATTTTTCACATGAGGAAACTGAGACAAAGAGAAGTTAGGCAACTTGGCCAAGCAAATCCTGGTGATCAGGATTCAGACTCTAAATGAGCCTAGCTCTGTGGACCACTTTTTTCAACATCACATCTTACTGCTAGGAAAAAGCAATCTCCTCCAAGCAATAGTGACAAATGTCAATCACAAGAACCAGTCGGCAATGTTATTTTCCTGCAGTACATTACCTCTTTGATTCGTTTAACCAAAGCATTCTGGTCAAATGCAACGGCCTCTGCACACTGATGCAGGTGATCTTGATATCGGAGGCAGAGCTGCAACACCTGCTGAGAGTCCAGTTTCTCCAATTTGGCATTTGTTGGGGAAGTCTGGCCACTCAATAGCCCTTCAAAGGAGAAAAAAATTAAATTAAATTAAAATTACTGCTAATAAACTTGTGAATAAAGTAGTTTAATAAGTTATTGAAGACAGGGTAAGAATTCAATTTAATCTTGCATATTCTATGTTAATGACAACTCTTGCAAATATTATTCATGGAACATGTGCTATGTGCCAAGCACTTTTGCTAAATGCTTCCTGTACACTATTTTTCATATTCAAATTCCAGGAAATTTCATTTTCCTGGAAAGTGAGATAGTATTAGCTCCGTTTACACCTGGGGAAGCCAAGACACAGGTTAAGTAACTTTCCAAAAGTCACATAGCTAGTAAGTGGTTTCTCCAAGACAGAGCTCCTGACTTTATTACATCTCATCAAGGAATATAAATATAAATCCCTTATTAATCGAAAATGTGGGAATATAATTTTTTACATAATTAAAATGGTTTTCTGAAAAACTGAGAAAAAGCAACGAAATGTATATAGAAACGGCTAGGAGATGCTAAAATGATGATATTTATCAAGTAAACAGACTCTCAGCTAACAGGCCAAAAAACTCTCAATCCTCACATTTTCTTTCAACACCAGTTTAGTCACGTAACCATTAGACTCCCCTGTATTTGCATAAGGCATCATATTTTCGTAGCTACGTAGCCGGGCAAGGAATAGCATTTGCAGGAGAAGAAATCAATTAAAGAGGCCAAATGATGCCCACATTCAGAAAGCAGAGCCCAGTCGACAACTTAAGCCATTTGCTTTCTGCCAAACCAAGAATTCTCAATTGTCAGAACCCCCACACTCTCAAAAATTACCAAGGACCCCAAAGAGCTTTTGTTTATGTGGGTTATGTCTTTCGATATTCACGTATAAAAATTAAAACTAAGAACATTCTTAAATCTTAAGTCATTTAAAGATAATGATAACTCCTTTCCACATTAACACAAATAAAATATATACATATATATATATATTTTTTTTTTTTTGAGACAGAGTCTTGCTCTGTCACCAGGCTGGAGTGCAGTGGCGCAATCTCGGCTCACCGCAACCTCCGTCTCCTGGGTTCAAGCGATTCTCCTGCCTCAGCCTCTCGAGTAGCTGGGACCACAGGTGCGTGCCACCAAGCCTGGCTAATTTTTTGTATTTTTAGTAGAGATGGGGTTTCACCATGTTGGCCAGTATGGTCTCGATCTCTTGACCTTTTGATCCCTCCACCTTGGCCTCCCAAAGTGCTGGGATTACAGGCATGAGCCACTGTGCCCGGCCAACACAAATAACATTTTAAGGAAAATATTCCTCCAAAAGAAAAAAGTGAAACAAATGGCACTGGTTTATTTTTTTTATGTCTTTTTAATGTCTGCTTTAATAGAAAACAGCTGGAATCTCATAGCTGCTTCTGCATTTAATCTGTTACTATTTCACATCATTTAGCCTCTGGAAAACTCAACTGGACACTTGTGTAAGAGAATGACCATGATTTGCAAGTAATGCCTAAGTATTATTACAAAAATTGTTTTGACCTGAGAGATTCCCCAGCAGGGTCTTGGGGATCCCAGCGATCCCTCTACCATATGCCAGGCCACTTTGTCTCATGCCAGAGCCAATACTATAGCACAAGGTACACAGAATACATGTGACAATGGGGCACAAGCAGGGCACATCAAAGCTCAACGTCTCCTTTTTTTTTTTTTTAAGACGAAGTCTCGCTCTGTTGCCCAGCTGGTGTGCCGTGGCACAATCTCGGCTCACTGCAACCTTGAGCTCCTGGACTCAAGCAATCTTCCCACTTCAGCCTCCCGAGTAGCTGAGACCAAAGGCACTGGTTACCACATCCAGCTAGTTTTGTATTTTTAGTAGAAACAGGGTTTTACCCTGCTGCCCAGGTTGGTCTCCAACTTCTGGCTCAAGCAGTCCTCCCACCGTAGTGTGAGCCACCATGCCCGGCCAAAGCTCATCTTGAGAACCCTTCCCCACTGACCCCAACCACCAATGTCTACCCCTCACTGTCCCCAACCACCAACATCCACCCCACACTCTTCTATTAGAGCTGAAGCCAGTATTCTTTCCCTGTAGGCAGGCTGTAGGAAGGGCTACCCAGCTGGGTTGTCCCAGAGAATCCTAGGAAATGCTTGTCAGTGTTCCCAGATCTTCATCTGGCCTGACAGGGCAGAGTATAGTAGGGCTGGAACCTGAGACATGGCTAAGCTCCTCCACATTCCACTGCTAAGCTGCTGCGCTGCAAGTCCTAACACAGGAGAGCCCAAGTTACTCCACCTGAACCTGCTTCTAGGTAGTATGTTTTGGTGAATCCAGTATTAGCAGAAATTGGGATTTTTTCATTGAAATTTTTATTAAGATCCTATGTACAGGATCTTGTGTCTCCTTTACCTAATTTCCCTCAATGGTAACATCTTGCAAAACTATGGTACAATATCACAACCAGGACATTGACATAGATATAATCTACTGATCTTACTCAGATTTCCTATCTATCCCTTCCTTTTTTGGTTTTGAGATGGTATCTCCCTCTGTTGCTGAGGCTGGCTCAAACTCCTGAGTTCAAGAGATCCTCCCACCTCGGCCTCCCAAGCCTCCCAAGTAGCTGGGACTACAGGAGTATGCCGCTGCACCTGGGCAGATTTCCTCTTTTTTTAAATTTTTTGGGACACAGTCTCGCTCTGTCTTCCAGGCTGGAGAACAGTGGAATGATCTCAGTTGACTGTAACCATGTTCAAGCAATTTTCATGCCTCAGCTTCCTGAGTAGCTGGGATTATAGGCATGTGCCACCATTCCTGCCTAATATTTGTATTTTTAGTAGAGACGGGGTTTCACCATGTTGGCCAAGCTGATCTCAAACTCCTGACCTAAGGTGATCCGCCTGCCTCAGCCTCCCAAAGTGCTGGGATTACAGGCCTGAGCCACCACACCCAGTCTAATTTCCTCATTTTGGTTGCACTCATTTGTGTGTGTATTTAGTTCTATACAACTTTTCCCCATACATAGGTTCATGTATTCACCACCATGGTCAGATACTGTAAAGTTCCTTCACCCCACTTCCATCTTTAACAACTGGCAACCATTAATATATACACTGTTTCTAAAAGTCTATCCTTTCAAAAGTGTTATATAAATGAAATAATACATCATGTAAGCTTTTGGGATTGAATTTTTTTTTTTGCCCAACATAATATTTTTAGAGATTTGTCTATGTTGTTTACATATCAATGGTTAATTCTTTTTTTATTTCTGAGTAGTATTCCATGGTATCCATGTATCACAGTTTGTTGAACCATTCACCCACTGAAGGACATTTGGGTTGTTTCTAGTTTGGGACTATTACAAACAAGTCTGCTGTGAGCAGTCATGTACAGGTTTTTGTGTAAACATTAAGTCTTCATTTCTCTGGGATAAATGCCCAAGAATGCAATTGCTGGGTCATATGGTAATTGCATGTTTAGTTTTATAAGAAACTGTCAGTTTCCCAGAGTGCTTGTACCAAGAAAATGGGAATTTTACAGTCCACTAAAATCTCCTAACAAAGCTATCAAGGGCCACCCTATCACTGACAAGAAATACATTTCCAGAACGCAAACCTGGGGGAAAGTACCAAAAGCGTTTTTGCTGTCAATCCAAAACTAAAAGAAGAAAAGAAGAAGGAGGCACTGTGGAAAACGGAATGAATGATTTCTGTGCCATTAATAATGGACCAGGATAATGCAAAAGCCTTAAAGGAAATACTGATAAATTCAACAGTATAAAAACCAAGACTCCTCATGACAGCAAACACAAGTTTTTTTTTGTTTTGTTTTGTTTTGCTTTTTGAGACAGAGTCTCGCTCTCTTGCCCAGGCTGGAGTGCAGTGGCTGGAGTGCTCAGCTCACTGCAACCTCCACCTCCTGGGTTCGAGCAATTCTTCTGCCTCAGCCTCCTGAGTAGCTGAGATTATAGGCATGTGCCACCATGCCTGGATAATTTTTGTATTTTCAATAGAGACAGGGTTTCACCATGTTGGCCAGGCTGGTCTTAAACTCCTGACCTTATGATCCACCCTCCTCAGCCTCCCAGTGCTGGGATTATAGGCATGAGCCACCGTACCTGGCAACAAGTTAAAATTTAAAATACAAAAAGAATACTCAAAACCTGGAGAAAATAAAAAACCTGCAGACACCCCAGGAAGCTTTTTTCCTCCTAATATGATAACTCATATCAGATACAGTAAACTTCCTAATATATAAAGAGTGCCTAGAAATTGGCAAATAAGGCTGGGCACGGTGGCTCATGCCTATAATCCCAGCACTTTGGGAGGCTGAGGCAGGCAGCAGTTTACCTGAGGTCAGGAGTTCAAGACAAGCCTGGCCAACACAGTGAAACCCTGTTTCTACTAAAAATACAAAAAGTAGCTGGGCTTGGTAGCGTGCACCTGTAATCCCATCTACTTGGGATGCTGAGGCAGAAGAATCTCTTTAACCTTGAAGGCAAGGCTGAAGTGAGCTGAGATCAAGACTCTGTCTCTTAAAAAAAAAAGGCAAATAAGCCGGGCGCGGTGGCTCAAGCCTGTAATCCCAGCACTTTGGGAGGCCGAGGCGGGTGGATCACGAGGTCAAGAGATCGAGACCATCCTGGTCAACATGGTGAAACCCCGTCTCTACTAAAAATACAAAAAATTAGCTGGGCACGGTGGCGCGTGCCTGTAATCCCAGCTACTCAGGAGGCTGAGGCAGGAGAATTGCCTGAACCCAGGAGGCGGAGGTTGCGGTGAGCCGAGATCGCGCCATTGCACTCCAGCCTGGGTAACAAGAGCGAAACTCCGTCTCAAAAAAAAAAAAAAAAAAAAAAGGCAAATAATACTTAGTAAAAGAAAGATGAACAAAAGATATGAAAAGATATTTCACAGAAAAGGAAACACCAACACCTCAACCATAAGAAAAGATGCACAACCTTGCTTATAACAATAAAAACAAATTTAAAGTTCACTGCAAGCCCATTTTTCACCTGTCAAATTGGTAAAA